GTTCTCAAAGCATTCACTCTGCGTGCCCGCACCTTGGCACAGAGTCATCACTCAAAACAGTATGTCCTCAGTGGTTACTATATGCCAGGCATAGACCATGTCACATCATCCTTCGCAAAATTCCAGGAGGTAGGCCCTGTTTGTACCCATTTTTACAGACATGAAAACTGAGCTTTAGAAAAGTAAACTTGCTCAGGATTACATTGCCAGGGAGGATGAGGGCTGAAATGCAAAACCAGTGGAACTCCAGAGTTATACTTCCAACTACCATGCCATTCTGCTTCCCAAATACTTGTAAAAAACACTGTTTGATTTTTTTTTTCATAAGCTTGAACAGAACAGATTCACTGGCAACTCACCATTGTTGGCCCCAGTCTCGTATTTGAAAGCCATGCAGCATGGTCAGAACCTGAAAGTAAGGTCTCTGCCAGAATGATCCAAAATAGGATTTATTTATTGAATAGGTGCTTGCACATAATACAAAAATAAAAGCTATAAAAGGAGAAATGATGAAAATTAAGATTCCCATCCCCCATACTCAGAGCCAGCCAGTTAGTTCCCTTTTCCAGAGGTAACTATCAAAATCTGTTGTTATCATAACAAGTGGGCTTAAAGCTGTATTTTGTAAACTACAATCCCATCCCAGTAATGGATAAATTTAGTGGGTCCTGACCAGAATCTATTTTTTAATGTCATTAAAAATATATATATTTGAAAGGATGATGTTCCACGCAGCTTGTGTTTTGGTTTTACATATAGTGTTAGTGTACATCTGAGTCACAGAGTGTAAAATCTTATTTTACACTTCTCATCATGAGGTAATGTCCAAAGCACTTTGAAAGCCCCCGACCTGGTAGACCTAGAAGTTGGAAATTATAAAGGCCACTTCCATAGAAAACCTTCCATAGTTACTTCTCATGAGTCACTCTGGAACTCAGCAACCTGAGTGACCCCATTAAAACGGAAGCCCAATCCCATTCCTCCTCTATTCAAAGCCCTTCAGGGGCACCCAACTGAAGAGAGTAAAAGCCGTGAGACAACATGTATTTCTATTTGTTTGCTCTGTCAGTGGCCTAAAAAAATCCACAATCAAAAATACAGGCTGTGTGATATAAACAAATATGACTCTGTGGGTGAGGGGCTCTGGGAAGGGATTTCCCAGAGATGGGTAGCATCCTTCAAAACAGCTGAAATTAAGAGTGGATACTCACAAATAGGGTCTGTTTTGGGGATGAGCTATACTAAGGATATTCACAAAATCTCCCTTGGAGAATTCTGGGGGGGTACCGCAAGGAGTCCGAATACTGTCCAGGACAGCAGGCGCATAGACAGAGGGCCACCCCCCCACGCTGCTGCATCCAGGAGAAGATGCCAGGGAGAAAGAAACTAGCAGAGGTCCCACCACAAGCCCCAACTTACAGGCATGGAGGAGCAAAAGGAGCTGTTTTTGTGTGGGCAATTCCTCCAGCCTTGGTCCAAGGTGAGCAGCAGCAGGAATTTACAGTGTTCGGCGTCCTGTTGTTTGGGACAGCCAGTAGCAACATAATGAGGCCAGTTCTCCGTGTCTCAGAAACAGCATCAGCACTCAGCAGGAGAGTCAAGCATGGATCCCCATTGGTTCCTTCCTTTCCCTCTCCATCTCTCATCACTCTCCTCTGGAGCTGTGCACTCCTAAATGTGGCAGCTGTCTCTTCACAGGTCCACATGGGAGCCTCAGCTGGGACACTTCATGGTGTCCCCATCAGAATACGGGTAAGCCAACTCTGAAGTGGCAGCTCCTGGAAATCAAGAGTGTAAAATCGTGGTGTATTCGTTCACTTGTTGACTTGATTATGGTGTGTTAGATACGTAAGCTCCTGTGAATAAAGATCTTGTCTGTCTTGATTTCTACCAGATTCTCGAGGTCAAGAACAGCACCTGACACCAAGCAGGCAACCAGTGAGTATCTTAAATGGATGAATAAATGTTAGGCAACAGAGTAGAAGCTGAGGTAGCCAATCGGTTCTCCAAGTACACCCAGGCAGATTGTGAAAGGTGGGTTCATAACCCTCTGCACCTGGGAGGTAGCCCCGCACGTGCCCTTTTAGGGTGACTTGCCAGTTTGACATGCTTTTGGTAAAACGGTGCCTTTGTGTGTTTACCAGGTGAAAAGAGATGGTAGGCGGAAGGAAGTACACAAGCAAAAGCACCCAGGCTTGCAAGGGCACAGGGCACGGCAATTACTAAGAGTGCCAAGGTGCAACCTAAGAGGTCAGGTGCCTGGGAGGGCATGGCCAGAGGCTAGGCTAAACAGATGAGCTCCAGCTGTGAAGAGGCACAACGTTAGCAAGTTTGCACTTTACTCTGAAGGCAACTGGGGAGTCCTTGGCAGTTTGGAAGCAGAGATATGATATGATCAGGTAACTGAAAGCGATATGAAAGAAGGATCAGAGAAGAGGAGGTTGTATAATTGGGGAAGCTAATTATGAGCCTATTACACAAGCCCAGATTCAGAGGTAATGAGGGCCAAGACCAATACATAGCCATGGAGATGGAGAGGAAGCCCTCTGGGACAATCAAAGGAGGTGACCAGTTGGAAGTGTGTCTGTGAATGTAGCTATCAGGGTTGGATATTCAGACTGAGAGGCATATGGGTCCTGCTGAAGTCATGGAAGAAAATAAAAACACCTAATTTGAATAATGTATCATTTAGAAAATCTGATGAAAGCACGTGTTTTTAGTTTCAGAGGCTTTACAGATACCCACCAAGAAGCCAAGTAAAAAGTTCATGGACATCAGTGAAGAATATCCGATTGAAAAACGGAAGAATGACAGAGTCCCAAGGAATGACCTCAAGTGGGCAGTGAAAGACAATGGTCCCCAACCCTTCTCATCTGCTTGAGAGACATTGACTATTGCCCATCAGACAGGGAGGAGAAGCAGAAGAGAGAACAAGAGAAAAGGAGAACTTTGTTCTTGAGGTCAGAGGTGCCTCAGACGACATCAGGAAGACTAACCACATGGCAGCAGATTAAGAAGATAGAGCTAACTTCTAATTTTTTTAGATGTTTGGAAAAGACAGAGTGCTTAAGTAGGAATAGCTAGAAAGCCTCATCAAAGACCTCAGGGTGGGCCCAGACATACGGTTAGGTGCAAGCAGAATGCAGCATGCTCAGGAAGCCAGAGACAAAGACGCTTTTCAGGCAACAGTAGGACTCTTTCTTCAGAAAAACTCAACAAGGCTCATTTACTGAATGAGTAACTAATAATTTCCAGACTTATATACATAATGGACTCAGATGTGTGCAACTGCCTGCATGCGTGTTGACTACTGTGTGTATACACCAAATAGCCAATCTGTCTATACATGTAGTTAATATGAACACATATTTGCATATAATTTTGCATTAACATAAAGGTATGTTTATCCATTTAACACATATACATATATAGTCTAGAAGAGCATTATAATTTAATATTTATTAAAAATCCACATGCTCCTTCTATATAATATGGCTGTGACTAGGACTTGGTTCTATTGCCCAATGTTCATGAGGATCCTCTGGAAACATTTCTTAGGGGTCTCACTATTAGGAAGAGTTGATATTCTCTTGAAAAACTGTTTGCTTTGCATGTGACAGAAATTGAATCTTATACAAAGCTCCCTTTTGAACAGGACTGCCAGAAACCTGGGAGACAAATTATGGTCCCACTTGTAACCGAGTGTATTGGACTCGATGGGGTGCATTTAAAAAGAAATGACTTCAGGATCCCTGGGTGGTGCAGCGGTTTGGCGCCTGCCTTTGGCCCAGGGCGTGATCCTGGAGACCCGGGATCGAATCCCACGTCGGGCTCCCGGTGCATGGAGCCTGCTTCTCCCTCTGCCTGTGTCTCTGCCTCTCTCTCTCTCTCTATCATAAATAAATAAAAAATTTTTAAAAATGACTTTCACTTCTGGCTCCATTTTACATGCCTTATTTTTCACTTTTTCTTCCACACACTTCTTGTCGTAGGCTGTGTACCTTTGCAAGTCACCTTGGTGAGCTGCTTTTTCTAGGAGATGGCATATAAACGTGAGGGCATTTTACAGAAACGAAATCACAGACGTCCAGAGACATCACGGCTGGGAAGAGACGTATTACTGCGGCCGGAGTTAAGGCAAGTGCCAATGACAACGGGTGTGTTACCAGGACAGCCCCGCGGCGACCCTTTACAGGGAGTCAGACAGATCTCAGGCCAGGTCACGGTTCTCCCTGCTGTCTCCTAGTTGAGTGACGGGAGGCATGTTCTTCTCTAAACCATCATTTTCTCATCTCGAAAACAGTGACCTCTCGAGGCTTAGGGGGGGATGGCTCACACGGGGTAACGTACCGGGGGCACCCGGCACAGCGCGCTCCGTCAGCTGGGTACTGTCGTCCTCTGTTCCGGACGAGCTGAGCTGGAAGGAAAGTTCTCCCCGGGCCTCCCCGCACCTCCCACCCCGCAGCCAGCCCGGGCGCCCCCCGAGGCCGAGGTCCCCGCCTCCCAGCAGCGTGCGGCTGCCTGCCCGCCCCGGCGGCGCTCGGATGTGCCCAAAGGGCCCCGCGAAGGGACGGGGGCTCTGAGATGCGGGGTCCCCTCCGCGAAGCCCACGCCCTCGGGCTCCCGCCTCCTCCGCGGCGCCCCCGAGCCTCCGGGTCGGACTTGCCCCCCCCCCCCCGGCCGGGAGCGGGGGTGGGCGGGGGCGGGGGCGGGGGCGGCGGCGGCGGCGGCGCCGCGGGGCGCTCGCTCGCGACGGGGCGGGTCTCGGAGCGGAGCCCGGGAGCGCCCCACGTTTCCTCCCCCGAGCGCACCGGCGCGTGCCAGGTGGCTGGTGCGGCGAGTGCGCGCGCGCGGGGGCCGGAGGGCGCGCTCGCGGAAACTTTGTGCCTGCGGGTGCGCCGCGGGCGGCTCGGCGGCTCGGCGGCTCGGAGCGCGGCGGGGGCGGCCGGGGGCGGAGGGGCCCCGCGGGCGGCGGCGACGGCGGCGGCGGTGGCGGCGATGTGCCGCGCCCCGCCGAGCCCGGCCCGCCGCGCCAGGTGAGGGTGAGCGGCCGCGGGAGCGCCGGCCGCGGCCATGGGCACCCTGGGCAAGGCGAGAGAGGCCCCGCGGTGAGTAGGGGCCCGGCCCGGGCGGCGCCGGCTTCCTCCCGGGGGTGGGGAGCGGGGCGGGCGGCGCGGGCGCCTCCGTGCACGGGAAGTCGCGGAGCCGGGGCGCGAGCGGCGGCAGGCCGGGGGCTCGGCTCAGATCCGGGGAACGGGCGCGGCGCGCAGGCGGGGCGGGGGGGGCCTGGGTTGTGCGCCCGCCAGCCCCGGGGCTGCGCCGGCCGCCCTCCCCCCCCCCCCCGCCCCGGCCTGGGTGGCGGGCGCCCGGGGCTCCCACTCGCGGACTTTCCGCCCGGTCCGCACCTGCGGCGGGCGCGGGGCCCGGGCAGCGCCACCTGGCGGCGTCTGCAGGGCCCGGAAGGGCCGGCGGCCGCGCTCGGGGCGAGCCCGCGGAGGTCCCCAAACTTAGAGCTGTCGGGGTGCAAGCTGCACCCCCCCCGCCCCACTGCGATTCCAGAGGGCTGTCTCAGGGGAGCCTTGAAGATGAAGGAAGGGGGTAGTGCAGGGTCTCCCGGCAGGAGAGAGGCCCGGAGGGGTCAGCTGTTGAGCTGTCCCCCTGGAGCCGGGAGGGCCTGGCCCCGCTCGGTCCAGGCGGACTGTGATGTGACTGCGCCGTGCCCAGCCCCACACACAGGCCCGGGAGAGGCGGGAAGCCTTAGCCTGCTGTGCTTTCTGGCGCTGAGGGTGCTTGGCACCTTCTGCACCCCCTGCACCCCCTCCCTGGGGTGTGGGCCCCCGGGGCGGCCCCTCGCCTGCAGCTGCACTGAGGGGAGGGCGCGGGCAGGTCACACCGCGTGCGCGCCGTGGGGCTGACGGAGGGCACAGGGCTGCAGAGGCTCCTCACCGGAAGCCAGTTAGAGCCGCCTTCCACTGCAGAGAAAGTTGGGGAAATCTGTGTTCTCGTCCTCTCTCTCCCTCCCTTACTGTCCTTCGCTAGATTTTATAAAAGGTTCGACCTGAAGGTGCGCGCGCCCTCCACGGAGGCACCTGCGCCTGGAGAGGATTTGGCCTGAAGGGTGGAGAGTTTCGACAACCTCCTGCCGCAAGCCCCCCCGGCCTGGGCTGCTGCAGTCTCAGAAAACACCTTCAAGTGAATCTGTTTCTCTCGGGCTTTATTTATTTGTTGTTTGGTTTTTTAAATTCGCGTGGGAACATTTGGCTGCAGCCCTTTAAAAATATGCCTTTGGATACTTAGACTACCCTTTCTAGACCTGCCTACCGGGAAACATGTTATGCATCCTTGCCTACAGCCGTTTCACCAGAAGCCAGAGTGGTTTGAAGCTTTGTCAGGAAGCAGCCAGCCAGTCAAGAGACTACCAGCCAAAAGAGCAGAGTTTCCTAGTTACTAGTTACGGGCGCAGATAACCCCACTTTCCCCAGACCTCTCAGATTGCAGTTTGGTTTTTAGTAGGTTCTCTATGGTGTCTCGAGCCCAGAGCCTCCATCCTCCAAGATTACTTTGCTCACCTTCCCTTCACACTCCTCCTGTCTGCTGGAATCCGCCCCGCTCCCTCTGAGTTCTGGTAAAAGCATCTACCTCTCAGAATCACCTTGGGGAACCAAAGTGGTTTCGCCTACTGCTGACATTAGGAAACATGACTAGAATTCGAGCCAGGGCAGTTTTTCAGAGTCCTCAGCGGTTGGTCGATGCCACCAACTGAGAGAGAAAATAGAATTTTCCCTGGACCCAGCAGTTGAGAGAGACAGGTTAACACCTCCCAGCCCCAGGGGGGAGAAGCCCTTTGTGGAGACATAGCATCCAATCGCAGTTGCCAGAGAAGTCAATGTGGAAGGCCTCAGAGAAAAAGACTTGTCCCAGGAAGGACTTCACTTTCCTCTTTCCCAGCTTTGCCTTGGGTGGAGGTCTTCACGGTGAATGCGAAGAAACCAAGGCAGAAGGCTGACTGCTCGCACTGGCCACCCAGCACCAGCCTTAGAGAGTTGTCAGTACTTGGCAGGGAGGGAGGGAGCCTGGATGGGGAGCAAGGACTTTTACCAGCTTCCACCAGCCTGGGCACCCGTGGCCAGCAGCATTGCCTCGCTGAAAAGCCTAGATCTCCACATGTATATGTGAAAGTGGACAATGACCGTGGAGAGTCTGCCCAGGTCTGGGGACACTTCCCAGGGGCCTGCAGGAGGAAGATGTCTATTAACTAAAGTCAGAGAGGCACCAGGTCCAGGTACAAATCCCAGATCTAGCACACGTGAGTCGAACAACCTCGGCTCTGTCACTTAGCTTTTAGATCAGTTTCAACTTCATGAAATGGAGATAACATCTTCCTGGGCTATTAGCTTCAAAAACCATTTAAATCCCGGTACAGAAAACCATATCTGGGGGCATCACAATGCCAGATTTCAGGTTGTACTACAAAGCTGTGTTCATCAAGACAGTGTGGTACTGGCACAAAAACAGACATATAGATCAATGGAACAGAACAGAGAACCCAGAAGTGGACCCTGAACTTTATGCTCAACTAATATACGATAAAGGAGGAAAGACGATCCACTAGAAGAAAGACAGTCTCTTCAATAAATGGTGCTGGGAAAATTGGACATCCACATGCAGAAGAATGAAACTGGACCACTCTCTTGCACCATACACAAAGATAAACTCAAAATAGATGAAAGATCTAAATGTGAGACAAGATTCCATCAAAATCCCAGAGAAGAACTCAGGCAACACCCTTTTTGAACTTGGCCACAGTAACCGGAGAAGGACAAACGGTGTATGTTCTCATTCATTTGGGGAATATGAATAATAGCGAAAGGGAATATAAGGGAAGGGAGAAGAAATGTGTGAGAAATATCAGAAAGGGAGACAGAACATAAAGACTTCTAACTCTGGGAAATGAACTAGGGGTGGTGGAGGGGGAGGAGGGCGGGGGGTGGGGGTGAATGGGTGACGGGCACTGAGGGGTACACTTGACGGGATGAGCACTGGGTGTTATTCTGTATGTTGGTAAATTGAACACCAATAAAAATTAATTTATAAAAAATAAATAAATAAAGAAAGAAAGAAAGGGTTGAATAAATACTATTTGTTAAATAAAAAATACAGAAATGTTTAAACATAAAAAAAAATAAATAAATAAATCCCGGTACAGTGCTTGCCATATCCTAGCTACTCAAGTCATTAATGCTCATTATTTTCTCTTGTTTTCAGATACTGATCTGATCCTGGGGTTATCACAGGGCCTAGATAAAAATCAATAATGGTCAGAGACTTGATCAGGTCCTGTAACACCGACTCAGTCTTTCAGAAGTCATTTCCTTGGGTTAATAGATTCTCAGTAGCCAGCTGTTGATGCCGTTTCCTTGGGCCCACCTGAGGTCAAAAGCAGAGTCCAGTGGCCACTGCCAGACAGCATGGTGGAGCTAGTGTGAAACAGAGCTCAAAGGGCAAGTTCTTCCTTCTACCAGTCTGGCTGTGTCCTGAGAGTAGCCCAGAGTTCAGTACACTGTCCTTTAGCTGGTTTCCCAAAATCCATGTGTGCCCCAGCTTTTTATTTTAAGTGTTCCAGCTCCTTCTGGAGGAGACTGTATCTTATTGGAGCGGCTTCTCCCGACACTCCACCTGGAACTGGTTCTCTCTCCTCTAAGAACATCACACTCCTTATGCTTGACACCCACAGGACACGAGATTTATAGAGTTGTCTTTTCACGGTCTAGGTCTGATTCTCCAACTAGTTTTTTGAATTAAGGAACTTCTGGTTCACCTTTACGTAACAACAGCAACAATTAACATAATGAGTATGTCTTACAGTTTGCAGAGTGCCGTCACATAGACTCTTTCACTGTGGTCCCCTTCCCCTCTGGCCTATCACAAGGTCTTGCTTATAGAATAAGCCCTGATTAATTGATGCCATTATGTGTTTATCAAAATAAATAGTGAGTAGCTAAAGTTATGGATCAGAGGTAGATATTTTTTTTTGTCTCCACTTTGGTAGTAAACTATGAAATAACTAAAGCCACAAAATTAATTATATGTTCAAAGAAGTTACCAGCAACAATACTTATCACTATTAAACCTGAAAAGATTATAGATGTGTATATGTATCTACGTGTGTGTTTAAATGGGAAGGAAAGTAAAATGCTTAGTTAACTTTCATATTTCATATTTCAAGTTGCAAACAACTTGACCTGAAACGATGAGATCATGACCAAAGATGAAGCTAAGTGACAGTGGGTGAAGGTGCCCTACTGAACTCCTAAGCCATTTCCAGATCCAGACTTGTTCTTTTACATTCAGTTCTGGAATCTCCCATTAGCTCTCGTTTTGTTTTTGGTTTTGTTTTGTTTTTATCAGTAAGGACATAGTAGAATCATATTTAGTGGTGAAAAATGACTCAATGATGGCCTGTGTTAACAATGAAAAATGGAATCTTAAATCCAAGATTTGGGAGAAAGGCAGGATTAGCTCAAATCTAAGCCCCACTCCCATAAATCCTCTCCCCTGCACACGGGTCCTTAGTCTTTGACTTCTCCTACACAGCCCAGAGGTGTTTCTGAGGCAACCGGACCTTCTGCAGCATCTCTGATATTGCTCAAGATGAACAAATTTAGCTGAACATGAGACCGATTTAAACAACCCTTCAGAACCAAGTCAGTGGACTCCCAGCTAAAAATAAATTATTGCTAGGAGCTAAGGACCGCCAAGATGGTCCTGCCTTCTGCCTCTCCCCTTCAGGAGCTGGGGCCAGCAGGCCAAGGCAGTTCCAACCCCAGGACGAAGAAGAGCCCTTGTTTCATCCCTGAAATTTCACCTTGTTATTTGCTTGGGAGATATCTCTTTAACAGCCAACCAGTCCGTTTGGTGCATTAGCCAAGTGGGAGGGGTATGTCTTCTATCAGCCCAACTCTCAGGATTAATTCGTCTTATCTCTACTCCTTTCCTGTCCAATGTCCCTTCAGAGCTTGGAGCTGCCAGTTTGTCCACTGGCTGCTCAGCTCACACTCACTGCCACCTCTTTTTCCCCAGGAAACCTTCTCATGGCTGCAGAGCTGCCACTAAAGCAAGACTAGAGGTGAAGCCAGCCAGCAGCCCCCTCCACTCCCATGCCAGCCTGGCCCAGATCACCCAGTTCCAAATGATGGTGTCTCTGGGACATTTAGCCAAAGGAGCCAGCCTGGACGATCTCATCGACAGCTGCATTCAGTCTTTTGGTGAGTTGGCTAGCTGCCCACATGCATAAAAATCTCTATATTACTTTGTTCTTCCCCTAAAAAGTTGCTTTGTAGACTAGCAACCTAGATTGTATTTGGGCTTTAAAAATATCTTTTGAGCCTTTGAAATGTTAGAGACAGCGTGCAGTGCCTATGGCACATGACTGTGTGGGTGTAATAGGTCGTGATGAGAGGTGTGATTTCAAGTGAGAAAAGTTACTGAGGAGAGTTTGCATTTCCATTTTTCTTAGGATGAAGGTTTTTCTCACGATGAAAAATCTCATAAAATGCTATCGTGCATCTGGTGCTTGGACATTTTTCTGCCCTTGTGTTCTTAGGGCACACAAAGACTCAGTTACAGGAGCAAACACTGTTATCGAACAGAAATTTGAAAGCCTTTGGGTCATGTGGACAATAAAGTTTCATAATTCTCCTTATGATTGGAGAGTAGTTGTGATGGACTAGGGAAAGACAGGGTCTGTGACCGGAAGATATTGGTTAATAAGTATTGTGATTGAAGGTCAGAGATCTGGGGAATTGGCAGACAGACACACAGTGACAGTGAATTATCTAGAATGCTGCACTCCGTCATCACCATACTCGGCATGAAGGATGCACAGCTTAGCGTAGCTCACAGGCAGTTACCTGTAAATATGCCAAATTTGTTTTAAATTTTATAAGCACTGGATATTTCTTTTGGATTATTCGTGAAATAGTGATTGAAAACTACTAAATATTGGCTCCCCATTAAAAAAAAAAGGAATGATTAAAATTGATGGAAACTTTGTAGATCTCCAGCATCACTCTTCCCCCTCTGTGCCCTGCTTTGAGTCCCTCTGTTTCCCATCATGAAGCACAGGTGTACATGTGGCTCAGCTCAGAAGGGCGTCCTCAGCCCAGGCCCTCGCGGAGCCTTCTGAGGAGTATAGGGGAGGCTTGACCAGATCCCAGGCAGCACAGAATGTAGACCTGTTAGAATTCAGAACTAGGGATTATTGGCGGGATGTATTTACTGCAAATCTTATTTAAAAACTTAAGAAAGATTTGACATTTTAGTCTAGTCTAGTACACTTTAGTACAATATTGAATAGTTTCGATGATTTCCACGTCAGCTTAAAGCACTGGTTCTCAAATGTTAGTGCAGGATCACATGGAGGTGTTTTGTTTTGTTTACTAGACTGCTGGGCCCTGCCCCTACCTAGAGTTTCTGTTCTGGGGTGACGCTCAAGAATTGATATTTTTAACAAGTTCCCAAGTAATACTGATGCAGCTGATCCAAGAACCCACTTTGTGAATCACCACTTTATTGTTGTAGACTTTTTTTCTTTTGTTTTTAACTGGGAAAAGAGGGAATCTTTTTGTTATTAGTGGGTTAACTTTAATTTTTTTTCAAATTTTAATTAAATTTCTATTTACACTCTAATCTTTCAGTTAAGAATGACTTTGGGAGCAGAGTGAGTGGTTTTCTATTTTTTAAATAGTTTTAGGAAATATACAAGCAAAGAAGTGAACCAGAGGTCAGGAGACTAATGGGTATATGGCCATGAGCAGCCGTTGTTCATCGTGCACTCTACCTTCAACTCACTCACAACTTGCATAAACTGCAGAGCTCCTCACATGGTTTTGGGAATCAAACCTACAGGTCTTTCACAGGGCACTGTGACTGTTTCAGGAATAAGGATTTTTTAAAAAAGATTTTATCTGCTTATTCATGAGAGACACGCAGAGAGGCAGAGACACAGGCAGAGAAAGAAGCAGGCTCCATGCAGGGAGCCCGATGCAGGACTCGATCCCAGGACCTGGGGATCATGACCTGAGCCAAAGGCAGACGCTCCTCCACTGAGCCACCCAGTTGCCCCGGAATAAGGATTTGTATTCTTTCTCCCTTTTCCTGTTGAGAAAACAGGGACGGAGAATTGTTATTTATCACACTTTCTTCCTCTTAGCCAATCCAGCAAAGGCCGTTTTCCTAACCTCCCAAAAACCATGACATCTGCCTTAGAAATTAATACCTGACCACTTCGGAAGTCCTTCCCAAAAAAAAAAAAAAAAAAAAAAACAGGCCTGATCCATCCCCTTCAACCAGTCAGTCCTACAAGGGCAAAAGATACATTGTTTTCTGGAATATGTTGAACTGAAAAAAAGTACCTTAAATTCCAAAAGCTATAAAAATCCCAATGAGTCCCAATAGTCTTTTTTTCCACTCTGAGGAAGCAGTGAATGAGTGCCTCATTGCATCTGACACAGGCTGGGCAGGCCACAAGGGAAAAACAGGGGTGGGAGAGACCTTGTTTCTTTATTAGAGCTTCGAATACCTGAGAGATGCACTGTTCCGGAAAAAAATAGCTACACAACGGGGCAGAAATTTATATGAAAAAGGTGAAAAAGAGGGGAGGGGCACCTGGGTGGCTCAGTGGTTGAGCATCTACCTTTGGCTCAGGGTGTAATCCCCGGGTCTCGGAATCAAGTCCCGCATCAGGCTCTCTGTGAAGAGCCTGCTTCTCCCTCTGCCTGTGTCACTGCCTCTCTCTGTGTGTATCTCTCATGAACAAATAAATAAAATCTTAAAAAAAGAAAAGTGAAAAAGAAAAGAGCGCCATGTGTGGGGGGAGCAGAGAGGGCACAGAGGTTTTGACTGCTGGGCTGTGGTGGCCTTGGGGAGGTGGGGGGAGTGGAGCTTGAACCACCCAGGTGAGCGGAGCAGAGGTGGGGGATCACTAGTAGCCCTTGACAAAGAACAATCCATGGCAAAATGCCTGCTTGTGCTTCTGCAGGTCTCCTCCGAAAATAGTACAGTGTGAGCCTCATGTTTCTCTTGAACCTCATCTTACTGGTTATTTTCTCAGGTTTGTATCAAAAAGTTTTGCTGTACAATCAAACAATCTAGCTTCGCTTTTTGTTGATGAGTTCAGATGCCTTCTCATTTTACTAATACCTGTGAAAAGAGAGGGAAATAGTCCAGAAATGTGAGAAAACCACTTTGTTTTTTGGTAATTTTGCTCTTGAGACTCTGTCTTCAGCACTTCCCAAACTTGGAGAGAGAGTAAAAATAAAAAATGCAAAACCCATTTTGAACAGAAAGGCTTATCCATTAATTTGGACTGCCTTCTCAACTTCACCTTCATGCAGGTGCTTTGAGGGGGTTCGAATTAGCTAGAACTGTGCTGTCCGATATGGTAGCGATTAGCTTCATGTCACTATTTACATGTACATTTCAGTTAACTAAAATTAAAAGTAAAATGTAGGTCCTCGCCTCATTTCCTAGTAAGCCTCACTAGCCATATTTCAAGTGCTCAATAGCCACAAGTGATAGCCACTGCTGGACAGAGCAAATGGACAATATTTCCATCATGGCAGAAAGTCTGCTGGACAATGGTGGATGGGGTAGGTGGCTGACTTGAAGGGGAAAAGCAACAGAGAGACCTCCTAGGACCTGTAGGGTTTACGTTTTTCTAGCATCGCTAGGTAATATTCTGAATACTGTCAAAGGCATCATGGACATTTGGGTTTAGCATCTTTACTGAGGCCTCTCTAGCATTATTAACCGTTCATTGCCACCCACACTGTCCTCAGAGGAAGGACTTACTGAAGTTCTTTGAAGGATGAGTGACCAGCAAGTACAAACTAAGGGTGCTCTTGAAGGCCTCCAGCGAGCCTCCCATTGTCACAGACAAGGTTCCAAAACTGTTATGAGAAACTCAGAGCCTTGAGTCATAGTTCACTGCTTCAGCCATGAAACAATCCACTCCCACCTTCTGGTTAATCAGAGGTCGTGCTTTACATTCTCAGCATATTATTGCTCGTTAATCTACCCCTCAGCTGAGCATAGCAAAGCAAATCATCACAACCTGGTACATTTATGTCAAACACATGTGAATCACACCATCTGTTCCAGGGGTAGAAAAGACCTATGAGATCATCTGGTTTTTAATGTTTTCACTTTTTAAGAGGGCTGCCAGCCTGGGGGGCTAAACAGAAGGCTTCACGTGTCCAAATTCACAAAACTCTTCCCTTGTTCCCTTCCAAATGCAAAACAGCTTTCAACAGCATCATAAAGAAAACTGCAAACATGTCCCAGAGAGGGGCCCTCAGCCAGGAGCCCTCCTGCTCCCAGGTGGGCTGTAGGAGGATATTCAGTGTCTTCGTCATACTTGTCAGTGCGAAGGGAAAGCAGCTTCGCTAACATCCTCTATTTATTGAGGGTTGTTTATTCTTTCTTGGGGTTCCATATGTATTGATTTTCTTTTAAACTCAAAACAACTCTGAAATTGGCAGGTCAGGTGATATTGTCTCCATTGGACAAATGAGAAAATAAATTGGGCCTCTGAGAATTGAGGCCGTTTTCCTGCTGCCCCCAGTCTAGAGAGAGAACACGCTGCTCATGTGCTTTTTTCCCTCTGTCCCCAACAACCTGAGCGGGGGTGCACTCAGAGCCCTCTCCTAGGAAGATCTCCCTTTATGCAGGGAACATGACACAGGCCTAAACCCTGTGCCCACATTCTGTAGGCAGGGTCTCCCCCAGATTAGAAATTAAACTCCATTCAATTTGAGAAATATTCATTGGACCCCACGTATATCTGTCTGCCTGAAATTCTATCTTGAACAAAGTGCTAATTAAAATTGCCGTAGGCATTGTACAGATGCCATATACAGAGACCTCCCAAACTAACAGGTATATTTTCTGCTCCATGGAGCACTTAGGTGTTAAAAGTATTTTATAGACCTCACCTTTCTAAGGGCAAAACACTACATCTATTTTTTAAAATTGGAGCCAGAAGGCAAACACATACTTGGTGGGACTGCACATAGTTCCCTCCGTGCAGAGGGAAGGCTGTGGTTCCTCACCACTTTACAACTTGTAGTCTGTGAACTAAAGTGAGGGGCCCAGAGGCAACCAGAATGCAAGACCAGGAGCCAAGGGTCATGATATTGAAGGGTGCTCAGACCCAAGAATGGGCAGCTCCGAGGAACAAAGCCAAGTATAGCGTCAAGAAGGGGCT